GAGAGAGAGAGAGACACCAGAGAGAGACCAGAGAGAGCTGTTTAGTCCGGTTTGAGCGGGAACTTTGCACTGGGCCAGTATCCACAGAATCATATTTTTAGCCGTGGTTTGTAGTAATTATCCTCTTTTTGGTTCAGTTACAACTTCTCTGGTCAGCGAGTTCTTTCGGTTGGTCTCCATAGAAACCAAACAGTCGCTGCTCCACTCACTCTTTTCGCCAGGATGGAAAAATGGATCCCGAGCCCATGCGGTGGCGGGTGATGGCACCAGGCCCAGTTTTGGTCCACTTTAGTCTGACTTTTGAGCAGCCACCAGCGTAACCGTTCTGTACTCTTCTGTTCCATTTCCCACACTCTTTTTGGCTTATCCAAATTTCGCAACCCTGAGCAAACTTTACACAACAGCAGATGAGATTATGGATTTATATTGTGAATTCTACAGAGGTAAATATGGTGGCAGAGTGGGTAGAATGCGGGCTCCCTGTGTCTGGGTGTGTTTCCTCCTGGTGCTCCGGTTTTCCCCACCACACTCCCAAAATATGAGAAAGTAAACCCATACAAAGTCTAAATTAGCACGATGCAATTATAGACTACTAGATTATTGATACAAAAACAAAAATAGCGTCTGGGGGGGGGTTCCTCCTGGTGCTCCAGTTTCCCCCACAGTCCAAAAACACATTGGTGGTTATGTGTCCGACAGATCTTTTGGATAAAATGAGTCCGACCATCATGTTATAATCTAGTTGACTGGCAACCACCAATCACTCACGCTCACACCAGACCAATCCGCCAAAGTGTCTTGCCTAAGGACATAGCTGCGTTTCCATTGAATAATGCGCAAAAACTTTTTCGATACATTTCAAAATTCGAAAAACCTGTAATTCGCAAAAGCGGCCGTTTCCATTAAGACATATTCGAATAAGTATACACTATTTTCGCGCGTTTATTCACTAGTTTCTAGTACGTCAACATGGCAACAGAAGTAAACAACACTTTGATTTACGTGAGATATATTAATGTCTTGACTTCTGCTGCGGCTCTCATCCTCTCTGACCTCTGACCCCGGGAGAAACTGTGGCTGCTTTGACAGCTCCGCGAACGCGCGTGGTCATGTACCGAGCGCGGACGCGCGCACAGAACCATAGACACGGGTCTTGCCTGTCTCCCCCGTCTCTCCCCCATGCCTCTCCCCCGTCTCTCCCCCGTCTCTCCCCCGTCTCTCCCCCGTCTCTTCCCCATGCCTCTCCCCCGTCTCTCCCCCGTCTCTCCCCCATGCCTCTCCCCCGTCTCTCCCCCGTCTCTCTTCCCCATGCCTCTCCCCCGTCTCTCCCCCGTCTCTTCCCCATGCCTCTCCCCCGCCTCTCCCCCGCCTCTCCCCCGTCTCTCCCCCGTCTCCTCCCCGTCTCTCCCCCGTCTCTCCCCCGTCTCTCCCCCGTCTCTCCCCCGTCTCTCCCCCGTCTCTCCCCCGTCTCTCCCCCGTCTCTCCCCCGTCTCTTCCCCATGCCTCTCCCCCGTCTCTCCCCCGTCTCTCCCCCGTCTCTCCCCCATGCCTCTCCCCCGTCTCTCCCCCGTCTCTTCCCCATGCCTCTCCCCCGTCTCTCCCCCGTCTCTTCCCCATGCCTCTCCCCCGTCTCTCCCCCGTCTCTTCCCCATGCCTCTCCCCCGTCTCTCCCCCGTCTCTTCCCCATGCCTCTCCCCCGTCTCTCCCCCGTCTCTTCCCCATGCCTCTCCCCCGCCTCTCCCCCGCCTCTCCCCCGCCTCTCCCCCGTCTCTCCCCCGTCTCTCCCCCGTCTCCTCCCCGTCTCTCCCCCATGCCTCTCCCCCGTCTCTCCCCCGTCTCCTCCCCGTCTCTCCCCCATGCCTCACCCCCGTCTCTCCCCCGTCTCTTCCCCATGCCTCTCCCCCGTCTCCTCCCCGTCTCTCCCCCGTCTCTCCCCCGTCTCCTCCCCGTCTCTCCCCCGTCTCTCCCCCGTCTCCTCCCCGTCTCTTCCCCATGCCTCTCCCCCGTCTCTCCCCCGTCTCTTCCCCATGCCTCTCCCCCGCCTCTCCCCCGTCTCTCCCCCGTCTCCTCCCCGTCTCTCCCCCGTCTCTCCCCCGTCTCCTCCCCGTCTCTCCCCCATGCCTCTCCCCCGTCTCTCCCCCGTCTCTTCCCCATGCCTCTCCCCCGTCTCTCCCCCGTCTCCTCCCCGTCTCTTCCCCATGCCTCTCCCCCGTCTCTCCCCCGTCTCTTCCCCATGCCTCTCCCCCGCCTCTCCCCCGTCTCTCCCCCGTCTCTTCCCCCATGCCTCTCCCCCGCCTCTCCCCCGTCTCTCCCCCGTCTCCTCCCCGTCTCTCCCCCGTCTCTCCCCCGTCTCTCCCCCGTCTCCTCCCCGTCTCTCCCCCATGCCTCACCCCCGTCTCCTCCCCGTCTCTCCCCCATGCCTCTCCCACGTATCTCCCAAGTCTCCACACGAAGCGCAGCCAAAACTCACTGAATAAAGCTCAGCTCGGCTTCCTCCGCTATATCGAAATAAGTGTTTCCATTGCCGTTTTGCGAAAAACTTAATTTCGATACGCCCAAAAAACCACCTATTTTAAGCGCATTAACTTTTTATCGAAAAACTGTGGTTTATTCGAAATGTGTGCGTTTCCATTAGACATTTTATGATGCGCAAATTCAAATTTCGAAATTTGATGCTCAATGGAAACGCAGCTATAGTTTGGCACACAACCACAGCCACTCAGGTTAGGGTTTGGCTTCCAGAGGTCTCCCATCGCCATACCAACCAGGCCCTTCACAGCTTAGCTTCTAAGTCTTGACATGCAGGTGAAAATCAATACAGGCAATTCTAAAAATGGCTAAGAACGGTATTAAAATGTAGCTGCTTGATGCTAACAAATGCTAATTGCTTTTTTAGCATTTTTCAAAAACTCAGCATTCCTCCAGTGGATTTTCACCTGATCCATTTGGTTCGGACCATGAATCCTCTCTGCTCTGGTCTGGACCAGTGTAAAACCATGAATCCTCTCTGCTCTGGTCTGGACCAGTGTAAAACCATGAATCCTCTCTGCTCCGGTCTGGACCAGTGTAAAACCATGAATCCTCTCTGCTCCGGTCTGGACCAGTGTAAAACCATGAATCCTCTCTGCTCTGGTCTGGACCAGTGTAAAACCATGAATCCTCTCTGCTCTGGTCTGGACCAGTGTAAAACCACGAATCCTCTCTCACAAAACAACAACTTCTGCATGGGTGGGTTTCCTCCTGGTGCTTCGGTTTTCCCCACCACACTCCAAAAACATCAGAAAGTAAACCCATACAAAGTCTAAATTAGCACCATGCAATTACTAGACTGTTGATACAAAAACAGAACCAAAATGACGTCTGGGTGGGTTTCCTCCTGGTGCTCCGGTTTCCCCCACCACACACCACCACAGAGAGGTAAAACACACTTGCTTCCGTGTGACTACAGTTAAAAGAAGAGATCTAAGCGTGTTTCTTTTATAGCTGCCAAATGATGTTTATCCGTCAGTGGTAGACAGTGATTAGAGATGGCTTCCTGTCGGCCACCTGAGTCTGTTTCTGGTTTATTTTAGTCTTTCCACCGACTACTAAGACCGTCCGCAGTTGTTTACACTAAAACATCTGCTTCACAATTTTCCTCCAGTCTCATTCAAAAAATTGCAGTGAGTAAAGAGAGAGAGAGACCAGAGAGAGAGATCAGAGAGAGAGAGAGAGACCAGAGAGAGAGAGAGACCAGAGAGAGAGAGATCAGAGAGAGAGAGAGACCAGAGAGTGAGACCAGAGAGAGACCAGAGAGAGAGACCAGAGAGAGATCAGAGAGAGACCAGAGAGAGATCAGAGAGAGACCAGAGAGAGAGAGACCAGAGAGAGACCAGAGAGAGACTAAAGAGATTGAGACCAGAGAGAGACTAAATAAATTGAGACCAGAGAGAGACTAAAGAGAGAGACCAGAGAGAGAGAGACCAGAGAGAGACTAAAGAGAGAGACCAGAGAGAGAGAGACCAGAGAGAGACTAAAGAGAGAGACCAGAGAGAGAGAGACCAGAGAGAGACTAAAGAGAGAGACCAGAGAGAGACTAAAGAAAGAGACCAGAGAGAGAGACCAGAGAGAGACCAGAGAGAGACTAAAGAGAGAGACCAGAGAGAGAGAGACCAGAGAGAGATCAGAGAGAGACCAGAGAGAGAGAGACCAGTAAGAGAGACCAGAGAGAGACCAGAGAGAGACCAGAGAGAGACCAGAGAGAAACTAAAGAGATTGAGACCAGAGAGAGACTAAATAAATTGAGACCAGAGAGAGACTAAAGAGAGAGACCAGAGAGAGAGAGACCAGAGAGAGACTAAAGAGAGAGACCAGAGAGAGAGAGACCAGAGAGAGACTAAAGAGAGAGACCAGAGAGAGACTAAAAAAAGAGACCAGGGAGAGAGACCAGAGAGAGACCAGAGAGAGACTAAAGAAAGAGACCAGAGAGAGAGACCAAGGAGAGAGACCAGAGAGAGACTAAAGAGAGAGACCAGAGAGAGAGAGACCAGAGAGAGACTAAAGAAAGAGACCAGAGAGAGAGACCAGAGAGAGACCAGAGAGAGACTAAAGAGAGAGACCAGAGAGAGAGAGACCAGAGAGAGAGAGACCAGAAAGAGACTAAAGAGAGAGACCAGAGAGAGACGTCACGATCGAAAATTGTGGCGTCTGTTTTTATGCCCTAAGCACAAACAGAGTTGTATTTCACTCTGGAAAGGGTGAGTAGATGATAGTTCTCTAGGTTTCCTCCAGGTGCTCCAGTTTCCCCTGCCATTAAAAACATGCACAATAAGTAGTGAATGTAATGAGTGAGTGGTCGGAGGCTTTGATGGTCCAGTGTGTTCGGCGACTCGCTTCCGTCATCACCGTGTGTGGAGAGAATGGAAAAATATCTGAACTCTGAACAACTGTGAAGCGCTTTGGGTGACGTTGATCTGTAAAATGCGCTATAAAAATAAACATTACATTACATTTCTGACAACTTACTTTCCGCACTCCCTTCCTCCCACACCCTTCACGCTCTTCACTTGGGCTGTCTCCAGGGGTTCTGAGCCTGGACTGGACACACCCTGCAGATGTGAGGGCCTCTCCTTCACATCTGTCTGTGTGTAAGGGCCTCTCCTCCACATCTGTCTGTGTGTAAGGGCCTCTCCTCCACATCTGTCTGTGTGTAAGGGCCTCTCCTCCACATCTGTCTGTGTGTAAGGGCCTCTCCTCCACATCTGTCTGTGTGTAAGGGCCTCTCCTCCACATCTGTCTGTGTGTAAGGGCCTCTCCTCCACATCTGTCTGTGTGTAAGGGCCTCTCCTCCACATCTGTCTGTGTGTAAGGGCCTCTCCTCCACATCTGTCTGTGTGTAAGGGCCTCTCCTCCACATCTGTCTGTGTAGTGTCTCCTGATCTTTGAAGACAGGGTTTCCCGCACACATGGATAGTGATGGAGAAGGAATGAACTCTGAGTTATGATTAAAAGGAGTTTAATGACATAATCAGAATACATTCAGTTCAATTCAGGCAAAGAGCTCTTCTGCCTGGGTCTCCTCCCTGATTTAGGCTCAACGCCAGAAGACCCAAAATAGAAACTAAACTGGGTTAAATACTAACATTTACCTTTACCATATATGTCCATCTGACCTATGATCCTAGACTCTTAAAATAAAAAGCAAGCCTGCTTTTTTGTGTCCTGGTCAGCATTCCTGTTGGATGTGAACAGAACAGAAAATAGCTCATATACAACACTCTCCTCCACATCTGTCTATGAGTGAGTGTGTGAGGGCCTAACCCTAACCTGCAGGAGGATCAGCGAGGTGGTGCTATGGTGCCATGAGACTTGGGTAGCGGCTCTGAGGCCAGCCCCTGTGCTCCTCAGAGTCCCAGCAGGAGTCCAGTCCCTGTGCTCCTCAGAGTCCCAGCAGGAGTCCAGTCCCTGTGCTCCTCAGAGTCCCAGCAGGAGTCCAGTCCCTGTGTTCCTCAGAGTTGGTTCATATGTCTCTAACATGTCACGGATGTACACGGATTTAAAAAAATACAAATATCGTATGTACTTTAAAACAATCAGACCTGTTTTAAGTCTTTTCTAAATGGTTTGACTTTAACACACATTTATTTTTGCGTCATCACTTATAAAGAACCATTGCTTTTCTGATTCAAATCCAACAGCAGCTGAGTAAGACTTCCACAGTTTTTTTCTCTCTCCACACACTTCATGATGCAACCTCTCTGCAACACATGGAATGCAAACAGTTTTTCAACACCGTGAAATTAGCCAACTTTTGTCACGTTGCATCATCGTAGACGTCAGTGGGAGACCTTCACGGCCGAGGCAGACTCCTCCAGGGTGGCACTGGGTTCTTATGTTGTTACACCACCGCGGATTACAGGACCAACAAGGATTTAGCAGAAGAGGAGTATTTAAACATGTGTTAGATTCGGGTCAAAATACATTAAAACTCCTGTCACACAATGATTCACGCTCCTTTACTGTTTCTCTGAGCCTTGAGTGTGGTACAGTGTGAGTTCTGTCAGTAAAAATATATATAATTAATGACAATTCACCATTGCCACGCTCCTATGAAGTCATTATGCCAATTATATGGGTACATTTTATTCCTAAATAAACATTGGGCCATCCTTATGATTTCTCTATTTTACTTAAAATTAGGGCTGTCAAACGATTATTTTTTTTTCGAGTTAATTACAGCTTAAAAATTAATTCATCGTAATTAATCGCATTTCAAACTATTGGCAAAATTATGCCATATTTTTCTGTAAATTGTTGTTTGAATGGAAAGATAAATGACAGCTTAGTGAACATATGTACTGTATTTGTTTATTATAACAATAAATCCATATATAATGGAATTAACATTATTAACATTCTGTCTTTCTGTTTAGACTCAGACCAAAACCATTGTTTGTTACAGATGAGGGACATTTCAAAATAGTCTGAAGCAGAATGTCATTAAATCTGTTTGATTTGCTCACACCATTACTTTTTTTGGAACAGCCAACATGAACTGGTAGTCGAAAGGAAAATTAGGTACCTCAGCTTTAATTTAGCGAGTGCACTTTGGGAGAAGTGTCTTCTGAGGAGGAGACTGAGGCTCCGCAGTCCAGCTTCAGCGCTGTACATATTGTGTGCATCGGTTACGCAAAGACACGTACGCACACTAGAGAATAGTTCTGTAATAGTTCTGTGCGTGGTCTTGGATATGATCCCATTACGCAGCGCCGTTCGCCGTGATCACAGCCGCTGGAAGTGGGACCTGTCCAGAGCGCTGTGGCGCCCGCAGCTCATCATGCAGAGTTCATACAGGAAACTACAAGTGCCCCGCGGTCACGCGTGTATTCTTTAAAAACTTGAATTCCCAGAGGCTCTACCTGCTCTGTCCCCATCTTACACACGCATGTGTCCGCGGCATTCTGAGTGTTATTATGGGACGCATGGGCATGCGTCAAATGCGTAAATTTTTTTAACACGATTAATGAAAAAAATTAATTAACGTGCGTTAACGCGATAATTTTGACTTAAAACCTTTATCTCTTCTTACTTTTAAGGTATTAAGAAATTAAGATGTCAAAATTGAGCCTCTTCAGAAAAAACCTCTGGCGCCTAAAGGGTTAAAGTGCTTTTCCCTCATTGCTGCTGTCTTGATTTATGTTTTTATTGTTTCCTGATGTGTAGTTTTCTCATCTCCCTGCCGTGAACGGATATTTTCCCCTCATTTTAAGGTAAAAGGTATTAATCCCTGTAGGGCAATTTTTCCTCTGCATTTGACCCATCCTGGTGCCGCGAAGGCTCACGTCAGGAGCAGTGGTTGCCGTAGTAACAGTGCCCGGGAACCCATCTCCAGATGTTGATGCTCGGCTTGGTCAGGACCAGAGCTGGAGGATTAACCTATAGTGCATGTTTTTAGTGGTAGGGGAAACTGGAGTACCCGGAGGAAACCGGCGCAAGCAAACTCCACTCAGAAAGACCCCGTTCCGACCGGGGTTCGAAACCAGGACCTTCTTGCTGAGAGGCGACAGGCGTGCTATCCACTCAGCCACTGTCTAGAGATATACAGAAGAAATACTGTTAATTAGGCCCGAGCCCCAAACGGGGAAAAGGCCTATTGTTTTTGCTCGAGAGATGTCAAATTCTGCACTTTGAGCCTTAATTTGACCCCCTGAACATGCATGAAAAGTTGTAAAATTTTGCCAAAAAATCAGACCTGGTGAAAAATTTTATATTTTGGTGTTTATTTTTATGGGACTCAAAAAATGCCAGAACAGCGCCACCTACAACAGCCAAAATAATACCCCTATGGGAGTTTTGGAGATCAAGGTTGTCGTAGAAACATGAGATTTGGTACACATGTTCCTCAAGTCAAGACAAGAAAAAAAAAGTTATTATGGCCCCGCCCTCTGACAAACAGGAAGCCCATAAATTTCACTGCAAAATGGAAAAATGAAAAGCAATAGTTTTCATGCATTTCGGTTGGAAATCTTCTCCTCCGCGGCCGTTTCACCGATTCGCCTCAAAATCGCTATAAAATGAATGACATAAAATGAATAACAATCTTCTATGGCTACGGGAACAAATTTATCACACAGCGGCACCACCTCCTTTGTGTATTTTCTAAGTATATATTTTGCCGTTTAAATGAACCAAAGTCTCTCTGTCTTTTATCTGAAAATGCAAATAGTTTCTATCGGATAAGAGTAACCGAGGGGGAATGATGCCCTTTGACAGAAAATATGAAATGAAACACTACGACTCGAGACCGTAACAACAAATCACCTTCTTGATTACGATAAAGTTGTCAGTTGGGCTTGGATTTTTCCTTTTCTGGGGATTTTTCCAGACTGTGACACATTTTATGGTTCTTTTCCAGATAATGTGAGCTTCTGATGTATTGTGTGGGGCAGCAGTGACTCCGCAGTAACAAAGCGTCTCCCCTTAGGCTCACAGAGGAATGCAGGTATGCGTCTCAGATCTCCTCTTGGCCCTTCATTTTCTGTCTCTTCTCCTTTTTAATCTCAGCCGTGTCTTTACTGCTTTCACCAAGGCCTGGACACGACAAACTACCAGTGTCAAGTAGTCAGGGACGGAAAGATCAAGAGAGAAGAGGAAAACCAGCACCTCTTTGATTGCATTTTCTAAGAGAGTCAGTAATTACTAAGTCAGAAATCTCAAAGTAATCATATATGCAAAAGACATAGCCTGCCTTTACCACACCATGGTACTCATTTCATTTTGTACTAAAGTCTGGATTTGCTCCATTGACTCCGTTAACAGGTGGGAGGGGTCAACTCCTTTTGCAGATTGAAACGATTGGATCTGAGTTTACCGTCACGTATGTAATGCGCCCGAGTGAGTGAGAGATTTAGCATTTAACCAAGCTTTAGCATTTAGCCTAGCTTTAGCATTTAGCCTAGCTTTAGCCATCTCCTTTTCAAACTCTTGACGTCACCAACACCAACCTGCAACACCCGCCTCCCCCGCTCTCTGATTGGTCGGAGGGGATTCAACGAAGGAAACTGCAGCCACTAGGATCAGACCCAGACGTACATGTAGGAAATGATCATGGACCAGAGTTTACACATGGTAAGACCAGACGTACATGTAGGAAATGATCATGGACCAGAGTTCACTGATGCTAATGCTAGGCTACAAAATACATGTACATATACTTGCTATTGTTTCATAAATTGCCGAGCTCCAATGGATGTAGCGACGATAGCATCTGAGGGTCCTGGCATGTGAAATGGTCTCTTTTAGAATGATAGATGTTCGTCTGATTGGGTTCAATAGATCTTCAAATAAAACTCTAAAATACAGTGCTATGATGGATGGAAGGTCTTTGAGATAATGAGCTGATGACAAAAGTAAGAGTTGTGTGAATTTTCCAGACTGTAAAGTGCAAATGAATGGACTTACACAGATTGACAATGCTGCATAGACCACAACTAGAAAAGTAGGATCCAAATGTCACCAGAAATGGTCGAAAATTGCGTGTAAGAAATGAACTTTTGACTAATACTGTAAAAAAAATACCATAGTCTGATTTCTATATAACTGATATTACTTGCTCACATGTATGGGCTTGTTCTTAAGTATATATAAAGCATGAAATAAAATGGGGAGTATGATCATTTATACAAAGAACCCGTTGATCCGCCACTGGCTTCTCCCTGCATATTTACAGTAAATGTCGTGAATACTCTGCTTTGAGCTCTGACCTGAGCAATTTACTGTCTTGGGAACAGCTATCCAGAATTTTGATTGAGAAGGCAAAAGACTAGGGGTCATTTCTCAGAAGCCGAAGGAATTTCCTGCCCGGCCTGTGTGTGTGTGTGTGTGTGTGAAGAGAGAGCACCATGGACCTTTGCCAGAGTCCAAACAAAGCGTGCTGGGGGTAAAAATACATCGACAAACGTCAGCGACTGTTTCACTGTTTATTACAAACAAAAAAGCAGGTTTAGCTGACTACTTTTTCGCTGGATTTGACGTCTTTGCTCTCCGACACCACTTTCCCGTCCACCAGTGTCTGAGTGAGAGTTACTACTTTGGTTTGCATCAGCCTTGAGTCCATGGCATCCTCAAGTCTGCAAAAAAAGACATACACAATAGTATTATAATTATAGATTATAGCCTGAAATGTGTGTTATCTACAGTCAAGTTTGTGTAGTTTAGTATGCTTTAGTTTGTGCGTGTCAAATCTAGTTGTTTTGAAAAGCCTGAGCCGATGAACTCACAAGATCAACAAGTATATTTTGTGTTCCAGAGGCCACACAGCGTTGCCGTTAGTGAGTAGCCTTGACTTCAAAGCACTTGTTTTCCATAAAGCTCCTTTGCATAAGCTCATTTGCATGTCGGTTCATTTGCACAAACTTCAGACAGGGCTTAATGTCCACCTCCCCAATCCGATGAGCTCTCTACTATGGCGAGTACAATGCGGTAAATTGCAAATGTGGCTCTTACTTCAAGTCCCCGCCGTCCAGAAGTCGCCTGTACTCTGCGATCTCGGCCTCCAGCTTGACCTTGATGTTGAGGAGCTGCTCGTAATCTCTGGAGTTGTGCTGGATGTCGATGCGGATCTTGCTGAGCTCATCCTGTAGTCTGATGATGATGCTGTTGTATTTCTCCATTTCCATGTTGTTGCGGGCCTCCACGTCCCTCAAAGTGGCCTCCAGGGACGCTTTCTGCAGCAGGATGGGGGTCACACGTTAATGCATGCTTAGCCAAGAGTTTCATGAGTTTTTCTGCTTGATTTTAAAAGGAGATGGAACTCTATGGACTTGTTTTCACCAACTCACAAACCCATACTAGGAGAAAAGACAAACCCGTTCAATGCATGCAATCAATTTCAATAGTTACGCTGAATCTTTTGTAACTAGAAAATCAAAATAAAAAAGGCTGAACGCATGGAGACTACAGCACTACAACTATAACGATTGCAAAGTCCTCCAAACACATTTCAATGAGTAACATATCTTCGTACCAGGCTGAGAGCGGACTGCAGTTCAATGTCCAGTCCCTGGTATCTCCTCCTGGTTTCACTCAGTAGCACGGTGGATTCTTTCAGGGCCGTGGTGTTCTGCGACACCTGAACCTGCACTTCTGTGATCTGCGACAGAAAACAAGCTCCATAATATTAGCCTCTTATAGCAGCCTCAAGTCTAAATATGTTCAATGTGTGCGTGGCATACCTGAGATTCGTGCCATGCCTTCAGCTCTTCCTGGTTCTTCAGAGCGATCCTCTCGTACTTGGCCCTCATTTCCTCCATGACACGGGCCAAGTCCTGTCCTTTAGGCGCGTCCACATCCACGTTCACGCTGCCGTGCATGATGTGTGCCCTCAGCTCTGCTACATCCTGCGCACACGGGAAATGGTCAGGGAGGGATTTCCTGAACCGGTCATTCACGGTATCCGGGTTTATTGCCAAGGAATAAACAACGGGCAATTTCATTTAAAGGTAATCTTGACCCTCCCTGCAACTAAATGAAGGAAATATGAAAGTGCATTACAGACGGCTATAATATTCAGTACAATGCATTCATGTTAGAACGTACAATCAAAACTGTAAAGTCCATCTTATCTTATCTTAAAAACTGTTTCGAACGTATTTTCTGGACCACAATCATGGAGCTTTTAGCCAGTGTCCGGTGTTGCTAGCTGCTCGGTGGCTGTTTATTATCATGAGTGTTGTAAGTGTCTGGTCTTACGGCCTCGTGGTTCTTCTTGAGGGTGATGAGCTCCTCCTTCAGAGACTCAATGTCGCCCTCCAGGTGCAGGCGGATCACGTTGGTGTCGTCCAGGAGCTTCCTGAGTCGGGCCACGTCAGCCTCCACCGTCTGACGCATGGCCAGCTCGTACTCCATCCTGATCACAGGGTGCAAGGTTGGATTCATCGGATTTTAGTGAAAATACAGTGGCATGAAGCGATAGACTCACTTGACTCGGAAATCATCTGAGGCCAGACGAGCGTTGTCCAGATTGATGGCCAGGTGAGCGTTGTCTTTGATCTGGTTCATAATCTGCAGAAGAGCATGTATTTACTTAAAAACAATAGGATATTATGTAAATTAGTTGAATATTAATGCACAGTTGTATGTATTCTTTAGTGCTGTGAACGTGAGGCCTCAATCTCAGTCATAATCACTGAAATTCCCTTCTACAAACGCCTTGTGCTTATCTATTTTATGCTTATCTGTTTTATGGCATTTATTGCAAGCTACAAATGTTTCAAAATCCTTCAGGTCTGACACTCTGGAGTCAGATAAGATCGACACTGAATTGGATTTGTAATGTAGTACAGCAGTTCTTCCAGAGTTCTGCTACAATATGAAAGCTAGTGTTAAGTGTTGGTTTTGGTATTTGACCTTTGAGGCTTTTATCTCTGCAAATGTAATCAATGTAATTATATATTTTCTGACGTTTTAAAGAAACATGGACACATTTCTGCAGACAGGGCATTGCTTTTCGGACGCTTCTTTGTGGCATAATGTGACTGACCTTGGCCCTGAGCTTTGTGATTTCTGCATCGAATCTGGAGTAGTCGCTCCCTTCGATCGGGCCCTTCTTCTCGATCACCTCCCGGATCTTGATCTCCAGTGTGCTGTTGGCCTTCTCCAGGATCTTCACTTGTTGCAGGTAGCTGGCCAGCCTGTCGTTCAGGCTCTGCATCGCGATCTTCTCATTCCCAATGGCCAGGCTCCCGGTGTTGGACCCGGAGGCTTGGTAATCGAAGCTGCTTCCTGTCATGCCGCTTCCAAACCGACTGCCATAGTTAGTGGCAGTGGAGATCCTGGTGCCGTGGCCCCCAGCGCCTCCACTCACACTGTAGGCGTAGTTTCTAGCTGGGCCAGAGTAGGACATGGAGACTTGGCGTTTCATGTGAGAGTCCATGGTGGAGGAGGTTTGTGGAGCAGTGAGCAAAAGAGCCAACAGTGAAGGACGAGACAGAGCACCGAGGGTTTATATACCACTGCTCCCACACCTTACATGCCCTAAACAGAACTCTACCTTTAGCTCGGCAACCTCGACTTTGCCCCCGAAAAGAGAAGGGTGTGATGCTAAATTGCTGTATTGTCAGTAATAAAAGTGGTTAATGAGTGTTTCTTCTCTAACCATGGTTTCAAAAGAGTAAATGACATGTTGTAAAAATGGGACTTAAATGTGTGGGGCCAGGAGTATTTTTGAAGCGATAAGCTATCTCTGTTTGCATGGGAATTTGAAGACTTCAGGCCGGTGCTACGTCAAGCATTTATTATATTCAATGTCCGTCCTTCAGGCTGAATGATAAGGATAATTACAAGCTTCATTGATAGATTACTTTGTTTTATTTTTTATACTTTATTGTGTCTTTATTTTGCACTGTGAATGTACAGACTTTGTAAACAAAGAACAATATTTGTTTTTTTTTTTTTTTTTTTTTTTACATACGTATAGTTCAGTTGAGCATATACATTTATAAATTTTTAGAGCACCCATGTGAAATATGTCATTAGTTGCAACAAAAGATTAAAAAAACAAAAAAAAAACAAACAAAAAAATTAGATAGATAGATTACATTTTAAAGATACAACATACATGATAAAGAATTCAAAATGAAACTTTAGCAGTGTCTGATAAGGAGCTTTCCCATATAGTCATGTGGAAAAGGTTGCTTAACAATTAAATCCAACACATTATTTCTCAGAGTGTGTGGTTGTCCATTTACAGATGCAGTCAATGATTTATCCTGACGTCATTTTCTAAAATACTGTGGGGAAATGTCCCTAAATCCCAAAAGTCGTCGAGGTATCACGTGCTTTCAAAAGACATGACCAAAAATAAATCATTGATATTTTGGAGCAGACAGATAGAACGGAACCAAGGCCTTCACCCCCTCCTTCTTTTCGTCATCTGTCTGTGTTGTTATTGAGTTGGATTTTCTAAAACACCAACAATAGCTGAAACGAAAACTCCCAAAGTGACAAATTCATGTTTTCCCCTCGCCTGTTGTGGCAAAGAAGAGAAACTCAGAAGAGAAAGTGTTGTATAAGAAGACTCAGGGCTCTGTGATGCTACGACAGTCCAGTTTGGCTAATTGCTAGTTTGTTAGAGGAAGCTAGCGTGTGTCAAGTATAGCAGGCTAACCGCTCACAGACTTGAGCCTAATGTAGTTTAATACTTTCACATTTCAAGCTGAGGCTTCGTCACAGACTGTGTTATTACAGAAACACGTTCATGTGCTGGGGTTGGGTTTGGTGGAGGACAGGGAAGAGAGTTGGTGCTACTCGGATGCTAATGCTAAGCTAACATGAATCATTCACTGCACTTTTAATGCTTTTTGGATAGGATTTGAGTATTCTTATTATTATTTTTTCTCACATATCTGCCATGATTCTCTTTTGTCAGATATATTGAAATAGCATTAATTATTAACTACAAGAGTTTGGATTTCTGCCCGTAACCAAAATATGTTCTTGGAGGTTAAATAATATAAAATAGAAATAAATGTACGCATTAACACATTGTAGTAAAGACAGTTGACTTTAATGATATGAAACATGTAGACGGAACTGAATGGAAAAAACACATGAAGAATACTTTATCCATTTTGATTGACTGAATTTAAAATAACCAACAACAATAATTTCATGAGAATTGAATGTCTAATTTTCTGATGCCAAATTGTGTAAACATACGGCCGACACATAAACACGTGGACATGATGGGAATGAAATAAATAAAAGATGACTAGTGCTTCTGCTCCAGTTGCGTTACCGACTTAATTAGCGTTGCATGACTAAAATGGCCATTTGTAATTAGTGTGTTGCGTTCAGGGACTGCGGGGCGTTTCAAAGATTCTTGGTTTCTGTGCTTGAAGAGACCACTTTCCCGTCCACCAGCGTCTGCGTCACGGTCATCACTTTGGTCTTCACTGTCTTCTCCTGCAGAGCGTCTTGAAGGCTGGACCAGAAATCAACACAACGCAATTTAGAAAAGACAGAGTTTAGTGGGATATTTACTCTTGCAGATTAGTAGGTCGCTACAGAGTTAAAAAGTAATATACAATTAAAGAGTCATTTTGATAGTGAGATGACATTCACAGACATTTACATAGATTTTTAATGCATTTTTTTACATAGATTTTAATTTTTTTTTATTTTGAAAAACGGACGCACATAAAAGACAAACACACAAGTCCAGAAATGGGAAAAAAAAAAAAATTATATAAAAATCTGTATGAGAAAAAGGGAGGTGCTTTCCAGGTCTATTGTACATGTTTTTAGTGGCGGGGGAAACCGGAGCACCCTGAGGAAACCCACACAGACAAGGGAAGAATATACAAACTCCAAACAGAAAGTCCCAATTCCAACCAGGATTTGGACCCATGACCTTCTTTCTGAGAAGCGAGAGTGCTAACCACTCAGCCACTCTGCCATCTTTTCTCCCCCATTTGATTTGTATAATTTTTATTTGATAACTCCCGATCAGAAAACAATTAACAAACTTTATGCCTGTATTTCATAGATAATAAAATTGTCCACATGGTGACCTTATAATGCCACTAAGGACCGGAACGCTTAAAAAAACATAAGAAAGAGAAGAAGAAGAAGCCAAGTGGCAATTACAAGCTGGATTCATTTGGTTTTTAGTAATAAATAAGATTTCTACTTACTTATATTTATCACTTTACTTTTCATTCCTTTGAACTGGGAAAAGATAGGAAGCAGAAGTTGAGGTTTTCCTTAAAGGCCCATATTATGCTACTTTCTTCCCTAATTCATTTTGGTTTAGTTCCCCGATACGCGTGTAAAGGATTCTAGTAGATTCAGTAGTTTCATTTACATCAGTAATTAGTAGTATTTAGGTTTCTGAATCACTAAATGGTTGTAATGAAGCTTTAAAGGCCTTAAAGGACTTCAGAACTCCAATGGCCTTCACTAAGTTTATACGGAGACGCTGCTGCAGTGAAACGCTATAGTTGGTGTCAGTTCAAACGACGTTCCAGGTGAAAACGTAAGAGTTAAGATCCAGCTCCAGAGTGGGACAGCTCAGATACGGTGCTCAACAGGGGGCGCTCTTTCACACCCGCACAAGGGAAAAAGGTGTGAATTCCCTGCCTGATCTGACCCCCACCTCCCGCTGCTACCCGGACGTGAATTTGGACTTGCGCCATAGCCGAGAACACAGGAAAAACAACAATGGCGGCGGGTACGCTAACTAGCTACATGTGCTTCGAGCGCTGCACAGAGGACGATTCTAATCCTTCATTCGTCCAAACAAAACCACGCGAAGCTGTAGTTTCAGTTTCTATTTTATTGTTAAATACAAAATGATGTTGGTGCATCTTTCACATCTTGCAGAGGAAGTGAGTATACTGCTGGGGGGGGGGGGCTGGGGCTCGCGTGTGTCATGTTATAAAGTTCCTCTGCCCCCTACTGGCCGGGTGCTAGAACTACATCGTTTTTGATCCTCGTATGAACGCTGTGAAATTTGCGTAAGGTCGTTTCTGTTAATAGTTGGGCAACGTCTGCGCAGCGCCTCCGTATAAACTGGGCCTAAGTATGTCTCACTGAATGCTATTTTTATTTATCTAGAATCATCGTGACTATGCTGGTTACACGCTTGCATAACAGAGGACCTTTAAGTATAGAACAGGAGTGATTAGGGGGTGTTTTGGACAGTGTTGCCAGGTTGGGACAGATTGTTCAGAAGATAGTGAGAGGATAGATACAGAATAAGGCAAACATGGCGCTGTTGTGGTCACCTGAAGTCCTCTCCGTCCAGCAGCCTCCTGTACGTGGCGATCTCAGCCTCCAGCTTCATCTTTGTGTTGAGCAGCGCCTCGTAGTCTTGTGTCTGCAGCTGGATGCTGTTCCTCAGCTGTGTGAGCTCTGCCTCCAGCCCCAACACCACGTTGTTCGAAGCCTCCATCTCCATGCTGTAGCGCATCTCCGTGTCCCTCAGCGTTCCTTCCAAAGACATTTTCTGCAGGTGAAAAAAGATCACAGCTCTGTCACTAATCTATCGTAGGGACAATTAGGGGCCTGTACTCAGTGGGGGCAGGTCCCGGCTAAAAAATGTCTAAAATGACGTGCGCTGACATGCTTGCAGTTCCACCCCAGGCCAGTGGGGGTGGACCCGGAATGAGAATTAGCCAATGCTAACGTATAGCATCTTCTCATCTTAAGAGGATGGTTCAAAAGACACTCTTGGCCTAAAGATACAGTACGTCCCACATGTGTGTCAACGCTGAGGCGAGTGTATTTTTTTGGTCCAGTCTTGCAGGAGCAAATGAGTTTTTCATATTTTCCACCCCCCGTGGTCATTTTGAAACTGCCCATAGTATAAAGTGGTGACACATTAGTTTCAACAGTTGAGATAGGCGTGACTGTCTGTTAATATTTACAGTCTAAGCCTGTACTCTGGCTCAGCATCTCATTGGGACACCTAATGTTTGTTTATAGGAAATAATTATGGTGTAAGCCATTTCAACGCCTGAGGATCAAGATGAATTGGTCTGTAATTATTTCTTGGACTTTTAGGGTGAGTTAACATCGGTCCCAGAGTTCAAGTGAACCCATTAGGACAACAACAAAAACATTACTAAACGGATTAAAAGGATGACTTAAACAGTGTAAACTTGTTCTCCACAGATGAAGGATTGTGGCTGTAATTGGTTCACTTAAAATGACCTCTGGTTCACTTAGAACTGAAATGTGAATGCGACCTTATCTTCATTTCTCGCACTGGTGCTGAGTAATGATGGCAGCTCACTCCACTAAAAGCCTTTTAATAAAAACATTCAAACTATAATAAATTAACATTTAAAGTAGCAATATGTACTATTTTCATGTCAAGTCATCATTAAAGGGCCCTAATCTGTCCAAAGGCATTAATAAAACATGCTCTTTTTCAATACTTCTTAAACTGATAACAACAGTTCAGTAAAATTACTTTTACAGCTCCTAAATTGTGCTATTATCATTTACCAATCAGAAAGTATGTGATCACTGCATCTAGCTAATCTCACTGGTAAAGTACCATGTGGCCGCAGAACTAAGGTCTCGTTATGATTCTCAAATCAGGTGTTGGTTATAGATTTGTTGCTGACAAAACAGCTGGATTCGTCTGCATATCTGGCAACCTGAGTCAGGGAGAGTGGGAGAGGCTGCAGTACCACTTTTGGCCACATTTTTACACACTGCTCCTTTAAGAATGAACCAGTAACAACGTGGTCTTGTTCTTACAGCAAGTTACAATCACCTAAAACGTCTCTTGCTTTCTCTGAGTGTTTTAGCCGAAAGGGAGAAGAAACCATCATGAATCGTGGACATGTTACGAGCAGCAGGTCAGTGACGTGTTAATGCTTGAGTCAACAGTAAAGTGAGCTGTTGTGTGAGTCCTGATGACAGTGAAGGTTTGTGTTTAATGGAGCGTGTTCCTCACCAGGCTCCTCTGAGACTCCAGCTCGATCTCCAGCGTCTGGACCTGTCTGCGGAGGTCGTTGACTTCGGTCTGTGCTCCCTTCAGAGCCTCTGTGTTCTGCACCACCTGACTCTGCACCTCTGTTATCTGAAAACAACGGTTTAAGTCATCGCCTCAGCTGCTTTGTTGTTATTTTAATCCAACACAAAAGAACTGCGTACCTGAGACTCGTGCCATGCCTTCAGCTCGTCTTGGTTCTTCTTCGCCATCTGCTCGTACTTGGCTCGGATCTCCGCCATGATCTGGGACAGGTCCTGGCCTTTGGGGGCATCGACGTCCACGTGGACACCTGATTGGGCGATCTGTTTACGCAGCTCCCTCACCTCCTTTAAAGGCAAAAACACACATTGATTGGATACTTACCAGCCTACAGAAAGTGGCCCACAACGATGCCCTCAGACTGTTGCTAAAAAGGCCCGGATGGAGCAGCGCTTCTGAACTTTCTGTGTCCTTTCGAGTGAACACACTGCAGGCCAACTTCAGGAACCTAATGTAAAAGTGTATGTGTCGCCTGAACACTAGCGCAGATATGTAAGTAAGTAAGTAATCTTTATTTATATACCGCCTTTCACAGACCAGAGTCACAAAGCGGTTTACAATTGTCCACTCACTCCACACAGAGATGGGAGCAGGGTCGCCAGTACAGGAGGCACATGCTAGAACTATTGTGCATGTTTTTAGTGGTAGGGGAAACCTACACAGACACGAGGAGAACATGCAAAATCCACTCAGAAAGGCCCTGGTTCAGCCGGGATTCGAACCCAGGACCTTCTTGCTGAGAGGCGAGAGTGCTGACTGTAGTGTTGACGAGCAGAGCTGACCTTGTTTTACCTCTGCCCTGTGGAAACACTGGTATAGTCTCCTCTAAAGGCATTTGGGGACTTTTATTGTTTTATTTTGTCTGTTTTTTAGTGTGTTGTGTCTTGTCTATTTTGTGTTTGTTCTGGACTGCGAGTCTGTAATAAAACTATCTACTTTATTTAGAGCTATACAAAATTATAACAATCTGCGCCCAACAGAAAGCACTGTAACCTCTTACATGTGCGACAAGTGAAGAACAAAACAAAGCGGAACAGGGAGGATCTGTACAACATGTATATTTTATTAAAACCTGTGATTAATTAAATTGTAATCTATGTCTGATAATGTTGGTAATGTATCCAACTACTTTTAGTTTACTGCTTTACAACAACCTGCTCAGGGACTACAGCTGTAAATTAGCACTGCTGCTACAACCTCGTACAATGCATCTCTCCTTTTGGCTAATTGTTGTACACTGTCCCTGTAAAATAAAATAAAAAATACCATACCATAAGGGAGGAGAAATAGTCAAAAAGGAGTGGGAAGAAGAAAAATACTTATGTGATCCCACCCCTTGTTCATACTACTTAGCTTACACACACATACACACATACCTGTACATACATATTAGTTATGTATAATGCAAAATCAGAAGCATACTCTCATCAGAATCAACATATTATTACTATTATTATTTATTGTCTTGTTTTATTCATATTGATTTGTTTAATATGTCTTTTTTTTTTTTTTTTTTTTTTTTTTGATGATTTGTTTAATATGTCATTTGTGTTGATTAAATCGTTAACACGTGCTATAAGTCATTCGTTTTAGTCGTTATGATGACATGGGAAATGCTGAGATGAATCAATGAGCCCCGTTGTGCTCTCTTCCAGACAATGTCCAATTATTGCTACTGTTAAAACCAGACTGGAGCCTTTGCTATCAAAAGACGCTTTGTACTTTAGCAGTGTATTTTTTTGAGATGACAGAAACATTATTTTCCGTGACCTTTCAGAGACCAGAAGCCTTTGTTGACCTTGCGTTGTTTGCTTTGCTAATAGTAATGACATACAGGGTTTGCCCAAACAGCCCATAACCGCGGTAAATCCTGTTTTTGTTCAATGCCCGCGGCGTTTTTTTGTTCGGACACATCTGCTAACGACGTCAACACTTCGTTATACACCCAAAACAAACATACTTTGCGGTGTCAATAGAGTTGGGTGTTGTGCTTACGTTTTCGTGGTTCTTCTTCAGATGAATGAGCTCCTCCTTCAGGCCTTCGATCTCACTTTCTAGATTCATTCGGGTCATGTTTGTGTCATCGATCACTTTCCTCAGACCAACAATGTCCGCCTCCACAGACTGACGGATCGCCAACTCGGACTCGAATCTGCGCGTCAAGACCGCGAGAAGTTATACCAAAAAATACAAAACTCTATGATTTAGTACTCTGTGGACGATGGATTTAAAACATGTTCAAATATATCACGATTTTGGTTTAAATGTAAACAAAAAAGGATCCATTTAATGTTATATACTGTAAGAATGAATGAATGAATGAATGAATGAATGAATGATATCTGGATGCAGCGGGATTCTAAAGTAAAGCACTTCGAAAGAGTGAGCAAGAGAGAAGGACAGTGACCCCGAAACAGGACGTAACAATTCCATCGGCAATCCACAAGAGCTCAGTAATTCTACAGTTTTCCAACGTGTGCTTGTAAATAATAGTCATTTTAAGAAAGGTTATGTCTATTTTAACATCATATTTTTACACATACTTTACTCTATTTCTACCTCCTGTTGTTTACTAAAAACGGCTGCATTTTGTGTTTTATAATTGTTATTTTTCTTGCTTTTTTATGCCTGAGATGTTGCTGCAGTTCAGTGTTCATGGTTTTACACTGGTCCAGACCAGCGCAGAGAGGATTCATGGTTTTACACTGGTCCAGACCAGAGCAGAGAGGATTCATGGTTTTACACTGGTCCAGACCAGAGCAGAGAGGATTCATGGTTTTACACTGGTCCAAACCAGAGCAGAGAGGATTCATGGTTTTACACTGGTCCAGACCAGAGCAGAGAGGATTCATGGTTTTACACTGGTCCAGACCAGAGCAGAGAGGATTCATGGTTTTACACTGGAGGATCAGGCCAAAATCCACTGGAGGAATGCTAAGTTTTTGAAAAATGCTAACAAAGCATTTAGTATTTTACTTTGGACCAGAGCAGAGAAAATGGTCTGAACCAAGCGGCTCCACCTCTGCTGCTCTTGCATTTTAATACTATTGTCTAATACTATTCTAATACTATTAATATTATCTTAATTATCTATTTTTTTGTATTGTTAGTTTGGATGAATGTGTTTTTGCTGCTACTGGACACCTGCATTTCTCCTACGGGGGATGAATATCTATCTATCTATCTATCTATCTATCTATCTATCTATCTATCTATCTATCTATCTATCTATCTATCTATCTATCTATCTATCTATCTATCTATCTATCTATCTATCTATCTATCTATCTATCTATCTATCTATCTATCAAGCAGTTTTCTAGTTTGTGACTTCTTGTTACTCACAAAACAAAGGCAATACAAATAATTCTGATTCTGAAATGCACTTTAGTTTTTCTTCTGTTTTCACCACAACGTCCCACTGTATTTCCCCAACCACCACCACCCCTAACATCCATCTGTCTGCTCCACCCAATCCCCCCGTCAGACCCAGGCTTTACACTAATGACACCCACATTATCCAGGGTGTGTGTCCGCTGCTGTCAGGCCTGTGGATTTACTGTCTATCAGCAGCACGGGGGTGGGGGGGGGGGGGGACTCACTTTACTCTGAAGTCATCTGCAGCCAATCGGGCGTTGTCGATGTTCAAGATCAGGCGAGCGTTGTCAGTGGTGGCATCAAACACCTGGAGGTTGGGCAAACAAGAGCATCTGGTCAAATACACGGTCGAATTCTGAATATAAAAGCCCCATTGTGGAGGTTGGAGATTATGGATGTTTGTGTGAATGGATGAATCTCTTACGTAGATCAGGGTTTGGTCTAGCCTGGTCGTACCACACCATAGTACAAATTACATTACGTACTAAGGTCTGGCAGTGCTCCATTGAACACCGTTTACAGATAGCAGGGGTTAACTCCTTTTGCAGATTGAAACGATTGGATCTGAGTTTACCGTGACGTGTGTGATGCGCCCGAGTGAGTTGTTAGCATTTAGCCTAGCTTTAGCATTTGCCGCTAACGGAGCGCGTGGGGAGTAGCGCCAAAATTCTTTCCAGCGATTACATTTGCTAAACATTCCTCTTGCTCCGGCTTCAGTTTCTTGATAGAACCAAGGTTAGGTGCAGAGTGAAAAAAATTAAGAACCATTCGGGGGCAGAAAGAACAGAAGGGATTTTCTTTTCTTTCGTTTTTGCGTTTTGAAGGTATTTTGACATTACTTTTATGTGACATGGGTTTCACTGTTTCCTCGTTGATTTTTCTAAAAACAAAATATGTTTTGGACGGCACAGTGGCTGAGTGGATAGCACCCTCGCCTCTCAGCAAGAAGGTCCTGGGTTCAAATCCCGGTCAGACCAGGGCCTTTCTGAGTGGAGTTTGCCTGTTCTTCCCGTGTCGGCGTAGGTTTCCTCCGGGTGCTACGGTTTCCCCTACCACTAAAAACATGTACAATAGGTTCTGGCATTTTCCCCTGTACTGGCCCCGTGAGAGACAAATGCCCAAAAAATAACAATTGTAAACCGCTTTGAGACTCTGGTCTGTGAAAGGCAGTTTATGAATAAAAATTACTTACTTACTAGTTTATTGTTTGGATTTAACCTTAACTGGAACAAACCTGAATTGTTTTATATTTAACTATTTCACTTCCAGACATCAGTGGGAGTTGGTGGAGAAAGTGGTCTGTATTTTGTTTAGTGTCAGTACATATCGTCTGTTTTATCTATCCAGTTTGTGCCTATTATATCAAGCTACACCTCGATCATCTATTTCTGTTCATAGTAAATGACCCTTCCACAGGGTATTGAAAAAGAGCTGCACAGCCCGGTTGATAAAGTGCACGGTTTGTTTTGTGTTGCCGTGATCAGGAGCATATTTGCGTGGCCCTGTGGGAGTGTCGGCACGGCTGGCTGACTCTGCAGACTCTGGACCGGTCTCTGTGTATTTTCCCATGAGAGCTTCAAGAGAGAGGCACCAGTTGAGTTTGAGCCTCCCGCATGTTTACACGACCCATATCCCACCAAGTACCATCAACTCAAGGGTCTCGTTTGGGCTTGTTGACTTTTCCACCGAATATTGTAGCTAAGATTTGATTAAAGCTGCAGTTAGCGATGTTGTTAGCTTAGCCGTAGCACTGACTCGAAACCACTCCCCCCTCCCCTCCCTCTCCACCAAACCAAACATCCAGCATTTTCTTTTCTTTGTCACAACAGGGAGAGTGGAGCAAACGTGAAATTGGCATTTTCTGTTCAGCCGTTTTAGGTTTTAGAAAATCCGATAACTCCGGTGCAGTCACAAGAAACAGGAAGAGGGTGAAGGGGGTAAACACATCCCATTGGTTCGTTGGGAATGAATGAATCCCATTGGTTTAATTTTATCGGTCTGCTCCAAACTATTTTTAATTAATTTTTGTAGACTATAGGCTTCTGTTCCATTACTATTTGAAAACACATGATCACTTGACTACTTTTAGGATTTAGAGACGTTTTCCCAGAATATTTAAAAAAAAAAAGCGTCTGGAAAAATATCACTGACTGCATTTTTAACTTGAATAAATTGGATGAATGTGGGTTATCTAGTTTTAACCGTTCTATTAGACTTCTCAAAGGGAATGAGTCACGTATTTTCCACTTTCAAGAGCAGACGTTTTGTAATTCAGTGGTTGAACAGAAGTGGAATGTTCCCAAAGGCCATATTGCGTGGAATACTTAGTTCTACGGAAGTGTACCCAGTGCTTTTGCAATGTCGATACTGATAATTACAGTCAAGGAGACGATAACCGATGTATATATAAAGAACCAATGTGTGTTTCTCGTGTCATATTGGAGTCAGGCTTTTAATTATACAAAGTCCGGCAGTTCCCGTTGTTTAAATGTCTGAAGCAAACGAGAATTTACCAAGTCATACGATAAATAAAACCGGATATATAAGCTTATGCTAAGACTTAATGTGGTGCAACAGCAGAGGAGATATGTCTGTGTTGATTGGAACCTGGATTCTATAATAAAGTCATCTACTGTATATATCTATCTATAAAGTAAAGTCCATGGGGTGGATTGATCGCCAAGGTAAAATATGTGTTAGATGTGGTTCTATTGAAAACAAGCTTGGATTTGGTTTCATTTTTGATTAATATTAACCAAAATAAACAAGATTAATCAGACAGGCACATGTACAGCCTGTGTTGTGAGTGAGCTGTTGTGCTGTGGACTGATACATGTGTGTTTAGTTGTATCATTGCTGTTTCGACCTGAAGCTAAACTAAACTACCGCTAATAATTTCATTTAAAAAAAGAACGAAAATCTGTAAAGTATTGGCAGATACGTTGGATTTTAATGGGCCGATATTTCCTCCATTTGGTGGACTATGGCAGCTGTCTTAATGTGTTCCATATGTGTTCGCAGAAGGCCTCTCTGTGTTTGTGTTTCTGGGCGGAAGAGGAACAGCCTGTTGCAGATCTGATGTGTATCGCTGTTGTTTGACCCTCTACGGCCCCTTGTTTTTTTGGTGTTTGTCAGAGAGTGGACATTCCTGCTGCATTATGTTTCCGGCCCCTGCCCCCTGTGACCGTCCCTGCCCAGACAGCGGCTTAGTGCAGGCCCCGAGCCAGACCCAGCAGGACCGACTGTTGTTTTAACAGTCAATCATTAACTCAAGCTGCTTGGTTTTCTTCAAACAGAAATAACGGTTGCATTGTAAATTTCTCCTGTGTGAGATCAATGATGTATTGTATTGTATGTGTGTATTGTATCATGAACAGAGTGAAATTTGACAAGCAAAAAATATGATAAAGTTTGAAGCAAAATTCAGTAGTGTATTTTGGATGAGCTCACCTTCTTCCTCAGGTCGTCCAGAATGACCTGGTACTTGCTGTAGTCTCTGAAGTCGGGCCCACTCTTGGACAGAGCCTCCTTGATCTTGATCTCCAGCTTCTGGTTGGCCTGCTCCAGGTTGCGCACAGTCTCCAGGTAATTGGCCAATCGGTCGTTCAGATTCTGCATGGCGAACTTCTCATTGCCCATGATGTCGGCACTGTTCCCACCGACCTGGAGGAATGGACTGGTTCATTGGCATCAGGAGCAAATTATAACATTTTTAAAAAATCAAGTCAAACTATGGAAAACCAATTCAAGCTCTGCCCATTCTGGATACGTAACCCAGGTGACGTACGGTTGTTCATCTCCAATGCCAACAGTGAAACAATGGCTGCCGCCAGCACAAAAAGGAAACAATCTTAAACTTTCTTTTCCAGCACTTTCTTTGCACCATTAAACTGGACCATTATCATTAACATCAAAGGTGAATGCTGTAAATAGTGACTGAAAAGTAGTTGTGTCTCTTGTAGCAGTAAAATGCTGTACTTAATATTTCACTTTGATAATTCAATTCTTGCAGTTAAACATGTAAACTTTAACAATTACCTGGACATTGCTGGAAAAGCCTCCCATCCCTGCTCCGGCCCCAGAGCCCATGGAGGACCTCAGAGAGCTGGCTGAGCTGACACTGATGCGGGCTCCTCCGGCCCCTCCGTGGATGGTGGAGGCCCTGTAGACGGGGGCCGAGGTGCGGCTGAGGGAGATGCCTCCTGGCCGGCTGCTGCCGCTGGATGAATGCATGGAGTAGGTGGTCTGTCTGGAAGTCTTCATGGTCAGAGAGGCTGAGAGCAGAGATGCAAAGGCAGGGACTGGAGTTCAGACACAAGGCAGGAGCAGCCGGTGAACAACTAAACTATATAAACCGTGGGCCCCGGGGCCGCCCCCAGCCCCTCCCCTCACTCCCGCCCCCTTTTCCACCGGCACCGACCAGCAGCCTCTCACTGAGCTCTTTGTCCTGTAAAAGTACAGGACAGGAGATTTTTGGGAAAGTTAGTCATTGAAAAAGTGAAATCTGCTGAAGTTACACTTATTACTGCTTTGATTGTGATCTTTCTGCTTCTGAATTCTCACAGGACTCTCAGATTTCATTAAACACATCTTTTTGGCATGTATACAGTAATGCCAAAAGCAGTAAAGTAGCAAAGGCTTTCTGACAAACATCTAAAAAGATGAAATAAAACACATCATGTGCTTCTGTCCAATCATGTATTCGTAATAATATTCATAACATCCTTTTAGCCATATACTATTGTTTTCTATGGTCAGTATAAATAATTTTAATTATCTGGAATCCCATCTCACTAACCACTGCTTCTTACAAACACAGAGAGCAGATTCCAACAGTGGAAGTAAAGTAAAGTGAATGAATCATGCCTAACTATAAATAACATTGAAAAAGATAAAAACAATTGATCACTCAAAGTAACGCCATCAGAACCACAGCTTCACACACACACCCTGCACGGATAAACAGATTAAACAAGATGAGAAATGTTAATGTTGTGACATGTGACTACAGCAGTTATCACCCGTCTGTCAGATCATTGAGACATGACTGTGTCACGCTGAGACGGCGTCACTTCACAGTAACTCTGACTGACGATGAGACTGTGGGTCTGGGATAGAGTCATGGTTAAAGTTCTTTTTGTTGTTTCCCGAGACGATAAAGGCAGAGAGCTACTTTACTGGGTCGATAAAGGCAGAGAGCTACTTTACTGGGTCGATAAAGGCAGAGAGCTACTTTACTGGGTCGATAAAGGCAGAGAGCTGCTTTACTGGGTCGATAAAGGCAGAGAGCTACTTTACTGGGTCGATAAAGGCAGAGAGCTACTTTACCGGGACGATAAAGGCAGAGAGCTACTTTACTGAGACGATAAAGGCAGAGAGCTACTTTACTGAGACGATAAAGGCAGAGAGCTACTTTACTGGGTCGATAAAGGCAGAGAGCTACTTTACCGGGACGATAAAGGCAGAGAGCTACTTTACTGAGACGATAAAGGCAGAGAGCTACTTTACTGAGACGATAAAGGCAGAGAGCTACTTTACCGGGACGATAAAGGCAGAGAGCTACTTTCCTGAGACGATAAAGGCAGAGAGCTACTTTCCCGGGACGATAAAGGCAGAGAGCTGCTTTCCCGAGACGATAAAGGCAGAGAGCTACTTTACTGAGACGATAAAGGCAGAGAGCTACTTTCCCGTGACAATAAATGCAGAGAGATCATTTCCCTGGACGATAAAGGCAGAGAGCTGCTTTCCTGAGACAATAAAGGCAGAGAGCTGCTTTCCCGGGACGATAAAGGCAGAGAGCTATTTTCCCGTGACAATAAATGCAGAGAGATCATTTCCCTGGACGATAAAGGCAGAGAGCTACTTTCCTGAGACGATAAAGGCAGAGAGCTACTTTCCCAGGACAATAAAGGCAGAGAGCTACTTTCCCGGGACGATAAAGGCAGAGAGCTGCTTTCCTGAGACGATAAAGGCAGTGATCTACTTTCCCAGGACAATAAAGGCAGAGAGCTACTTTCCCGGGACGATAAAGGCAGAGAGCTACTTTCCCGGGACGATAAAGGCAGAGAGCTGCTTTCCTGAGACGATAAAGGCAGAGAGCTGCTTTCCCGGGACGATAAAGGCAGAGAGCTACTTTCCCAGGACAATAAAGGCAGAGAGCTACTTTCCCGGGACGATAAAGGCAGAGAGCTACTTTCCCGGGACGATAAAGGCAGAGAGCTGCTTTCCTGAGACGATAAAGGCAGAGAGCTGCTTTCCCGGGACGATAAAGGCAGAGAGCTACTTTCCCGGGACGATAAAGGCAGAGAGCTGCTTTCCCGGGACGATAAAGGCAGAGAGCTACTTTCCCGGGACGATAAAGGCAGAGAGCTGCTTTACTGGGTCAATAAAGTCAGAGATCTACTTTCACTGGACAATGAAGGCAGAGAGCTACTTTACTGGGTCGATAAAGGCAGAGAGCTACTTTCCCGGGACGATAAAGGCAGAGAGCTGCTTTCCTGAGACGATAAAGGCAGAGAGCTGCTTTCCCGGGACGATAAAGGCAGAGAGCTACTTTCCCGGGACGATAAAGGCAGAGAGCTACTTTACCGGGACGATAAAGGCAGAGAGCTACTTTCTTGAGACGATAAAGGCAGAGAGCTACTTTCCCGGGACGATAAAGGCAGAGAGCTACTTTACCGGGACGATAAAGGCAGAGAGCTACTTTCTTGAGACGATAAAGGCAGAGAGCTGCTTTACCGGGACGATTAAGGCAGAGAGCTACTTTCTTGAGACGATAAAGGCAGAGAGCTACTCCTTTAAGCGGCAAATTTGGGTGATATATTGGTGTGAACAAGCCTGGTATTGGGTACATTCATTTTTTTATCATCACATATTTGTTAATTGTGACAAAGTAAGTGTCACAAGTATCTAAATCCTTTGGCGAGCTACTTGGAAGGGTGTGGAGAGCTACTGGTTGGAGACCCCTGAGTTAGAGGCAGCGACAGACACCGATGAGACCATGTCTAATGCACATTTTACACCATCCACTTCCATTTACGACCTAATCACACGTCTACAGCCGCCGAGAAATTGCGCATTGACGGAGTTGTTGTGGATGTGTGCGGACGGTAATTACAGACCTGAGAATGTGAGGAATGGAACGGCAGATGTGGTTATCTGTGGCCGTGCCGGATGAGTGTGCGATGGGCTCGTCACACACAGAGAGGATACGCTGAAACAAAAGAACAATGAACCAACAGGCAACAAAAACACTCTGAAATACCTCCTGCCGTTTAGGACATTCCACAGACAACTTTACACGTTCTTTTCATATTCACAAAGACAAGAGAAAACACAGGGATTTGAGTTTAATAACATTTTTACAGTTTTTCCATCAATTCAACAGAAAAGTAGGAATTGATTTCTGCGTCAAAGCAAATAGACTGTTATTGTTGTTGTTTGAATGTCTTTCTAAGCGGTAGGTGTCAAAGTCGAGGCCCGGGAGCCAGATCCGGCCCAAGAATGAGTCACCTCGGTCCTGGGATGATATTTGATTCGTGTTAGAACCGGCCGCAGAGAGACATAAAGAAAATATTGGTTTATTTGTTAAATCGTTAAATAAAATTCGATACACTGTGTTCAACTGGGTTCAACTGGTTTTATTAATTATCTTAAAATGTTTTAGGAACCAGTCGGCTTGTAGCACATTTGTTTTTGCCTCTGATGTATTTGACTTTGACATCCCTGATCGAACACCTTCACTTCGAACGCCGTTAAAAGGGAATGAAAAATACATGTTTTTTTATTTTTCATGCCCTCTTTTTTAAAATGCACTTGTTTAATATTTTCTCTAATTTTATTACAAAAACTCTACTTCCTTGGATTAAAAATGGCCTGTTTTAATACATAAAAACACATAACCAGGTTTTAAATACATACAAAAACTTCTGCTTACTACAGTGAAATCAATATGAAAAGACACAATTTTGAACGGACCAATTTTTTTTCGTTGATTCATTAATATCATGTACAAAACCAAAAATTACTAAACCCTTTAATGGTTTCCTCGAGCATTGGAAGCTTGGAACTGAAATCTACCTCTTTGGGGCGAATTGGGCAAGGAAAAATTTCTCTGAATAGCAAAACGTTCATAAAAAGTTCTACTGTATGTCCCATTTTTGCGGTTTTCCCACGGTTTTGTGTTATTATTGATCCTACATCTTAGAAAATCCAAAAAAGAAAAACATTACGTTGCTTTCTCCAAGAAGTGAGTGTTATTCAGATTAACTAAAAACTAGGATAAGAGTAAGTTTTGCGGTGAACGTGCTGCATGTTGATGATTTTCCACTTGTTGCGTCGAGGCCCTTCCTCCAGGTTTCTGTGTTTGTTTTTCAGGAAGGAACCGCCAACAGGATATTAAAGAATCAGGAGCACAGCATTTGTCCAAACGGCCCACATGTCTCTGGATCCCACTGCCACCAGCACCATGCCAGGGTGTCCGCCGCCAGAGACAGCCGTGCCAGTCCGGGCTTTTCCATTCTTAATACTAAAACACAACATACGGGTAAAGAACAAAGTGAAAATCCCCTGGCGATAAAAGCAAAACAAAACGTGGGTTGAGAATTTAAAAGTCAGTCATTTGTATCAAAACACATACAGACAACGGTCAGGATTAACGGGAATATATTTCATGTTTTTACTCATGACGTAACTCAAACAAAAGCACATTCATGAATCTCACTGAACCATTTTCATGCTAGAATTCAAAAAGTATAAAAACAAATCTTGCGCAGGTTGTTTTGAAAGCAGATCCGGCTTCTCTAATCCATATTCAAACAGTATAGGACAACAACAGTTTATGGTTATAGAGCCTGGTCACATGTGCTCGGTGTGGTTGCCAGGTTTGGAGCATGTGTGCTTTTATCAGTGAAAGGTCATTCCATCAAAGTCGACATCTGTCACCGAGCTGCAGGTTCCAGAGCGGAGCAAAGCAAAAAAAATCAACTGGAACCCTCTCTCAGGAAAATTTAATGTGTGTGGACTAGTGAGGGCTACAGTCTCACTCCTGGCCTGTGGGGGTGTACCCGGAAAGAGAATTACCCACTGCTTTTCTATGGCGTCTTCCACTCAAAAACCTCTTTACAGGATGGTCCAAAAGTGGCTCTCGGTCCAACTGGTTCCAAATGCTGTCGATGCTGAGGAAAGTTTATTTTTGGACCAGTCTAGTTTAGCCGCCGTGGACTTTTGAATGCACTCGTTAAATGAATGGGGCTAGTGCAGCT